TACAGAGTACCAATTGGTGTATTTACAAACCTTGAGCTAGACGCAGAGTACTGATTGGTGTATTTACAAACCCTGAGCTAGACACAGAATGCTGATTGGTGCGTTTACAATCCTCGAGCTAGACACAGAGTGCTAGAAGAAAAGTTCTCTAAGTCCCCACTACGTTAGCTAGACACAGAGTTAGCTAGATACAAAGTACCAATTCGTGTATTTACAAACCTTGAGCTAGACACAGAGTACTGATTGGTGTATTTACAAACCCTGAGCTAGACACAGAGTGCTGATTGGTGTATTTAGGATCCTATAGCTAGACATAAAAGGTCTCCAAGTCCCCACCAGATTAGCTAGATACAGAGTGCTGATTGGTGCACATACAATCCTCCCGCTAGATATAAAAGTTCTCCAAGTCCCCATCGGGCTCAGGAGGCCAGCTGGCTTCACCTAGTGGATCCTGCACCACGGCTGCAGGCGGAGCTGCCCGCCAGTCCTGAGCCGCGCTTGCACTCCTCAGCCCTTGGGCTGTCGTTGGGATCGGGCGCCACGGAGCAGGGGGCGGCGCCACAGAGCAGGGGGCGGCGCCCCTCGGGGAGGTTCGGGCCGCGTGGGAGCCCACTGCAGGGCGGGGAGCTCAGGCATGGCGGGCTGCAGGTCCCGAGCCCTGCTCCGCGGGGAGGCGGCTGAGGCTCAGTGAGAATTCGAGCATAGCGCCGGTGCACCCGCACTGCTGTCGGACTCGGTGCACCCTCTGCCACTGTTGGCCCAGGTGCTAAGCCTCTCCCCGCCCTGGGCCGGCGGAGCCGGCCGGCCGCTCAGTGCGCGGGGTCCGCCGAGCCCGCGCCCACGCCTGCCGGAACTCACACTGGCCCGCGAGCGCCGCGCGCAGCCCGGGTTTCCGCCCGCGCCTCTCCCTCCACACCTGCCGGCAAGCAGAGAGAGGCGGCTCCGGCCTCAGCCAGTCCAGAGAGGGGTTCCCATGTTGCCGTGGCGGGCTGAAGGGCTCCTTAAGCGCCGCCAGAGTGGACGCTGAGGCCGAGGAGGCGCTGAGAGTGAGGGCTGCTAGCACATTGTCACCTCTCAACACCAGCACAATTTTTGTATTTTTTGTAAAGACAGGGTTTCACCATGTTTCCCAGGCTAGTCTCAAACTCCTGGGTTCAAGCGATCTGCCCGCCTCGGCCTCCCAGAACGCTGGGAATACAGGCAGGATCCACCACACACAACCAAGGAATCATATTAAAGCGGACCAAAATTAGGTCTCTTTTTTTTAAAGAAGAAATTCATTATTATGTGATAAAGTGTGAGCTAGGGAAAATAGTAAGATTTTCATGGTCATGGATAAGTATTTTTGTGTATGTCTGCTGTTAAATGCAGGTACTGATTTGTAACAAAATAGACCTCCCCTCGAGTCCGTAAGAATCATCCAAAATGGTATCTAATGACATTCCTGGGACCTCAGCTAATATTATTATTTACATAGAATGCAGTCACTGGGTCCTGAGGATTTCATCTGATGTTGGTTGTTGAAACTTTATCGGGTCTTTTCCCCTTCCCCTGTGGTTTTCCACATTTCAACATGTCACCTAACTGTCCTCAAACTTTACTTAAATCTTTTCAACTAAGTGGAATCTTTCTTAGCCCTGCTCAGAGGAGGGTTTGCTTTTGAAGCAACCCTTTTCTTCCTGCGATCACACTCCCTGTGGCCCCTTTTGTGGTCTCTCTTGTGGTCACAGGGTTTGTAAACATTCGTACTTTTTTTTTTTTTTTTTTTGAGACGGAGTCTCGCTCTGTCGCCCAGGCTGGAGTGCACTGGCCGGATCTCAGCTCACTGCAAGCTCCGCCTCCCCGGTTTACGCCATTCTCCTGCCTCAGCCTCCCGAGTAGCTGGGACTACAGGCGCCCGCCACCTCGCCTGGCTAAGTTTTTGTATTTTTTTAGTAGAGACGGGGTTTCAGCGTGTCAGCCAGGATGGTCTCGATCTCCTGACCTCGTGATCCGCCCGTCTCGGCCTCCCAAAGTGCTGGGATTACAGGCTTGAGCCACCGCGCCCGGCCGTAAACATTCGTACTTTTTCCAACTACATATACTTTTATTCTTATTTTTCACTCTTCCCCCAGTTGTTGCTTTTTCTTTTAACTCTGAGGGAGTTAATTAGACCCCTCTTCAACTTCTGTGATGCACCTATTTATATATGAGCCGCTTGGTTTTGCTCAAATTGCTTTTCAGTTTACTCACTCTTGAGGAAAGACACTGTTTGGGGTTTGTACCGTGTATCAAGCTTTTCTAAAGTGCAGACTTCTCTATACGTAATTGCCTCTTTCCTAGAGTAGTTATCTGAAAAATCTATTGAAACAGAAACTGGTCATGAAAAGAGCTCTTTCTAAACCTCTCCTCTAGAAGAAATGTCTCTAGTCACACGGTGCTTCCTCCCTTCTTGATTTTGTATCAGTCCAAAGCTAATCTGTCCTCATTGTGGATTGCATGAACTTGTGCGTTCTTGGGCATGATGTGTTATTAATTCTCCCTTCTCTTCCAATTGTAAACATGTTTTCTTTATTGGTTCTTACCACTTAACATAAAAGTATACTCACCTTTATTCGGTGGGGGGTGGGAGGAAATGAAAGCTTTTTTAACCATATATCTGCCTTTAACTATTCCCCCATCTCCCTTTCAGCCAAACTTTTAGGAGGAGAAGCCCTCAGTTGATATCTTTACTTTCTCACCTCTGGTTCACTCTCTCCCCACTGCTAACACTCAGCTTACTCACAGACATCCACAATCACTGAGTTGCCACAGGCAATGGCATTTGGGGCTTTTCTGCCTTCTTGGCAAAATATGACTCTGTTCATTGGGGTATTAGGTATAAAGTACCTACTGACCAGGCACTACGCTAGGTGCAGCCATCACAGAAATGAGAAGTAGACACCACCTCCATTCTGATGAGACTCACCAGATCAGCCATTTCTGATGAACACTCAGGTGCCTTGACTCTCACTTTCCACATTTGCAGGCTTTACTTCATGCCACGTACATTTCCCCATTCCCCAAGTCTCCTTTCTCTCCAAACCCCTCCCCTTATTAGACACAGCTTTTTAAAGCAATCATGGTCATACCCATGGCTTCCATTCTTTTCTATATGCTGTTATGACAATAGAATTTAAATGTTGTTCTTATATAACAGTTTTATTTTACGCGACACCTCATTTGTACAACCATAAATTCAAAGTTTCCCTAAGAAAGTAATCACTAAAAAATTGTCATATTCTTAGTATGTAAATTGTAGGAAATTTCCTTAATGGTTTGAGTTACTGTGTGTGTGTTACTTTTGAAAACATGAGTTGGGATGTCACAGCATGGACTTAGCCTACAGAGGTTTATATCCAATTTTCAACCTGAGGGGTCCATTTCAATGTGACACTTAAAGAGTTCAAAACTGTCTCATTCCGCACACCTATTCCTCTTCCTACATTCTCTGTCTAGGGGAGAATCACTGCCATTTACACAGTCCATCAAACTAGGGCCTTAGCAGCCTGTTTTCCTCCCCCTCTTCTTCCTCGTCTAATCACCAAGCACTTCCTGTTCTATCTCCCAAATGACCACAAAACTTTTCCTTCTACTTCAGTCACTGCCACTGCCTTTAGCCTTACTGTTCTCCAGACGAACATAGGGTCTCTTAATCAGCCCTACTGCTTTCATCAAGTCCTCTCCATTGTGCAGAGCGACGTCACTGCAAACACATCTGAGAGAGACTCCTCGCCCCGTGTGGTTCAGTGACTCTCGTTTCCAGAATAAAATTCAAACTCTACCCCAGCACCAAATTTTGGGTCAGACAGATCTGCGTTTTTATTCCAGGTTGATTCACTGTCCAGCAGTGTAGCCTCAGACAATTAAACCCTTTGTTTGCTCATCTGCCTGAACTCACTGAGGGTTGGGACTGTTTCACACGTGCAGTATTGGAACTTACAAGACACTTAATGTTGAATGAAGGGGAGGCATTTTAAAATCCACATCAAAAAACTGTTATTCTTTTAAAAAAAAAAACACTAATCTACTATGTCACTTCCCCTCCAAGCAGGACTTCTGCCCTTACTTTCTGATAATCGTGATCGGCTTGTGGGGATCCAGATTACTCAGGATTAAATTGTGGCCCCATCTTGAGCAGTCATGGAAACTTGGAGAAGCTACTTAACTTCTCCATTTAGATTGATTCTGTAAAATCCATAAAATGGAATGGTTTCTGGGGGTTAAATTAGTATGCCACAGTTGGAACACTGTCAGGCTTGCCAGACGTTTACTATTCGTCTTCATCAAATGAGGACAGTGGTATCCCACTGTGTGGTTCTCAATTTTGTGTAAGAAAAACATGCCTTATGCCTTGTTAGTAAAAGAAATATCTGAATATCCCTGCCATGGAAGAAACAGAGGGAGAAAAGAGAGTTGGTAGGTCCTAGCATTTCAGAACTGGGAAGGATTAATTCAGTCCCTATTTTGTAGACAAGGAAGGGAAAGTGTGATGTGCCCTAGGCTTTCATTCAAGTCACAGTCATCACTCTTTATTGAGAGTGGGACCAGGGCTCTAGGAGTTGCTATGGTCAAGTTGAAGACAAAAACTAACACTTGTAAGACAGGAGAGAAGCATTTACTTACCAAAGCAGTCAGAAATTTGTGTATAACTACATTTGGTGAGCAAATGAAAGCTGCCGGACTCAGAAAAACAGAGATGCTAATGGACTGACTTCAGTAACCAGGGTTTTCTATGGAGTTCATGGCCCAGGGTGACTTCCAACAACAACCCCCACTCCCCTGCACTTTTCTCGGGACTGGAAAGCTCAGGCAGCCCAGGACGAAGAGTGCAGTCACCACAGATGGGCAGGGTGGCCACAAGGTGGACAGCAGCAGGGATGGGCATTGTGAGCCATTGGGTGGGTCTGCGGGGTGGGGCATTGTGAGCCAGTAGCCTGACTTGGTTGCTTCCTGGTAACCAGGTGACATAGGAGGCTTTGTGGGTACAAAGCATCAGCCAGGGCCAGCAGCCTTCAGTCGGTAGCTGGGAGGGTAAGGAGGAGGAGCTCCGACTATATTCTGTGACAGCATTTTTTGTGTCCCTTAGCATTTTTTGGTTGACATCCTTCAATCCAGGAAAATTCCCCAACTCACAGCAGCCACCGTGAGAGGTGGTGGCTGAGGCTCCAGGCTCGCCTGGGGTCACACCACTTGGGCAAGACAGTGCATTGGACTAAGGAGAGAGGAAACAGCAGTGCAGGTGCCCCATAGGGAACAAACTGAGTTCTCCCATGGGCCCCTGCTGTGGCCTCAGCTGTGACTGCTGCAGGCTGAACGTGGGACCCTGCAATGAATCTGAGACTGTTGAGGCTGTGGCAGCCGCGGCACCAGCATCCACCGCTGCAGAGGCTGCCAGATTGAATTTGGGAGCCACGGAGGTCCATCCCGTGCAGGACCAGAGCAACCCCGAGCTCCCCAAAGGTAAAGAAGCCATGGGTGCCATTTGCTCTCTGGCATCTCTCTGGCCCCCATCGCCCCCACCCGTTTGCCGTCCCTCCCCCTCAGAGACATCCTCAGCTTCCAGCTCCCTCCTGCCCGCAGCCGGCTTTCCCAGGGCTCGGCATGGGGGACAAAGGCTGGTTCTGCCTCTGTCTTTGTTGTTGAGCCTTCTTAGTTGAGGCCTTTTTGGCCTAGTCCCTCCCTTTTCTCAGTAAAATTTCAAATACTCCAGTTTTGGAGTCCCCATCCCATTCTCTGTCCTTACCTATGCAGCTGGTCTGGGCCCTAAGTGAACGAGCCAGTCAAGGGCCCGGTTGTTTCTTTTCTCCCATTCCTCAAGGTAAGCTAATAACTGGGATAATTCAGACTCCAATATGTGGAGAATTCTTAAATTCAAAACAGAGTTTGCCATGGAAGAGATTATATGGTATTCCTTTTTTTTTTTTTTTTTTTTTTTTTGAGATGGATCTCGCTCTGTCGCCTAGGCTGGAGTGCAGTGGCCGGATCTCAGCTCACGGCAAACTCTGCCTCCCAGGTTTACGCCATTCTCCTGCCTCAGCCTCCCAAGTAGCTGGGACTACAGGCGCCCGCCACCTCACCCAGCTAGTTTTTTTGTATTTTTTAGTAGAGATGGGGTTTCACTGTTTTAGCCCGCATGGTCTCGATCTCCTGACCTCGTGATCCACCCGTCTCGGCCATCCAACGTGCTCGGATTATAGGCTTGAGCCACCACGCCCGGCCTATATGCTATTCCTAATAGTGAGTCACATTGACAGAAGCTTCTTTATTTCTTCCAATTGTAATTTGAACAAAGAAGAAAAACAAACTGGGGGACATGCTTAAAATGACCCCGAAAGGTATGACATGTTACTGCCCGAGCCGTAAAGAAGTTGTTTTTGTTTTGGTTTTACCCAAAGGAGTTTAGCCATGGAGCTCTGATGACTTGAAAATTCCCACTTTGACATGAATGTCTCTTCAGCTCTGCTACAGTTTAGTCCCTATTTTATAGACAAGGGACGGAAAGTGTCATGTGTCCTAGGCTTTCATTCAAGTCACAGTCATCACTGTTTACTGACAGTGAGACCAGGGCTCTGGGAGTGGCTATGGTCAAGTTAAAGACAAAAACTAACACTTGTAAGACAGGAGAGAAGCATTTCCTTACAAAAGCAGTTCAAAATTTGTGTGTAACTACATTTGTGAGCAAATGAAAGCTGCCAGACTCCGAAAAACAGAGATGCTAACGGAACTGACTTCAGTAACCAGGGTTTTCTGTTGCGTTCATTGCCCAGGGTGACTTCCAATAACAACCCCCCCCACTCTGCACTTTTCTCAGGACTGGAAAGCTCAGGCAGCCCAGGACGAATAGTGCAGTCACCATAGATGGGCAGGGTGGCCACAAGGTGGGCAGCAGCAGGGATGGGCATTGTGAGCCATTGGGTGGGTCTGCGGGGTGGGGCATTGTGAGCCAGTAGCCTGACTTGGTTGCTTCCTGGTAACCAGGTGACATAGGAGGCTTTGTGGGTACTAGGCATCAGCCTGGGCCAGCAGCCTTCAGTCGGTAGCTGGCAGTGGAATGAGAAGCTCTGACTACACTCTAATGACTGTTTTTGTGCCTCTTGAAGCTTGTTGCCTCCCTTTCTTTTTGAAATAAGACAGAAGATCCCCACCTTCACAGACAGAGAGAGAGCCCATCTTATTTGTTTTAAAAAAATGAATAAAAATGTGAGGGGGAGTCTTGTGAGGATGATGGGAGGGGCTTCCAGAGAGGAATATCTTCCATGGAATTCCTGAAATGGGAACAAACTTGTTTTGGGCAAAGAACAGAAAGACACAAGGGTGGTTGCAGCAGAGTGAAATGAATGTGATGGGTTAAGGCCGTGTGCACACAGTGAGCACTGACAAAGAGTATGGACTTTAGTTGAGATGGGAAACCACTGGAGGATTCTAGCCTGGGGATCACAGTTAATTCTCCAAGAAAAAGACCACCGGCTCTGTGAGAATACACTGTAATGCAGGCAAGGGTGGAAGCAGGGAGACCAGCTAGGAGGCTGGTTGGGTAGTTCAGGTGAGAGTCAACAGTGAAGAGACAAACAATGACCTGAAATAGGCTGACTTGAGAATCTTTAGATTCAAGTGAATGTAAAAGATAATAAAGTGGTAAATAGACAAGTCACAGAAAAAGAAATGCAGATGATCCTTAAACACGTCTTCACACATAAGAGAAAGGCAAATGACAACTATACTGCAGTGTCTCTCCTATTGAGGGAAATTCCAAGAACACGGCAATACATTCTTTGGTTTGGCTGTAAGGGAAGTTGCATTCATATAGTGCTGGTGAAAATGCAAAATGGCTCGACTCCACGAAGGGGAATTTGGCACAATCTCACAACCTTGCAGATACAGTTAAACTGGAAACACTACTTGGAGGCGTTTTATCCTGAAGGTATACTCCGTAAATATGAAACAACCTATGCAGAAAGTCCTTGTCGCATTGTTTTCCGTAGCTCAATATGGGAAATAACTGAAATGTCTAGTAAGGGCCTAGTAAAATTAACTGGTTCTTCCGCCTAAAGGAGAACTACGGAGCTGTAAACAAGGGTAAGATGTCTTTTTACTGCTACCGACTGATTCCCAAGATAGGTTATACAGAAAAGGAAAAAGGGAGAACACGCAGTAATATACACAGAAGAAAGCAGGGGGAATAATGTGTGATTATTAAAACAAACAAAAAAACAACGCTGGGGAATTCTTGATGATGGGACTGTTCTCTCCTTAACTTCAGTGGGTAGCCGAAGTGCGTATTTTCTCAAAATATTATTTTGTTGTGGTTTTCTAAAGGATGTTAACTGTTTACTTTTGACCTTTGAGTTAATTTGAGAAAGTTGTGCTTTGTAATTGATTGTACATTATGTAGTATATAGACGGCTCTTACATATTATTTGATCCTCTCAATGTTTTAAGTTAGGTGTTATATGGGAATTTTACTTGTGTCACATGAGAAGTCTGGTTCTAAGTATAAATTGAGTTTTTTGAAGTTTGAAAAAATAAGAGTCAGATCAAGGATGTAAATTCTAGACATAGGGCATATAAAACTAGAATTTATTAAAAGGTACATATGGGCTGCTTTGGATACTACCTTTTTAAAAAAATCTTTCCTTTAGTTTATTAAAGTAGTTAAGCCTCAGGATTAAAACAGTAACATTAGATAATGAGAAATAAAATGGAGATACTTGTAACTCAGTAATGCTTTTTATTTTTAAGAGACAGGGTCTTGCTTTGTCACCCAGGCTAGAGTGCAGTAGCACAATCATAGCTCACCGCAGCCTCAAACTCCTTGGCTCAAACGATCCTCCCACATCAGTCTTCCACGGAGCTAGGTATACAAGAGCTCACCACCACACCTGGCTAATTTTTAAAATATGTCTTGTAGAGAAGAAGCCTCACGATGTTGCCCAGGCTGGTCTCAAACTTCCGACCTCAAGCAATCCTCCTGCCTTAGCTTCCAAAAATGTCAGGATTACAGCCATGAGCCAGCACACCTAGCCCAGAAATGTTCCTAAAAGTCTGAAAAATGAAGTTACATGCTGTTAAATCTATCAGTAGATAACAATATACTATGATATGTCAAATGTCACAGCTCAGTCATGGTCACTACAACATTGATTAAAACGTAGAACAGTTCAGGCAAGTCTGAGAACTGAGAGGGAAGTACAGGATTGCTTTGGAAGCCAGAATTGGGATTGTCAGAGCTGGGAAAGCAGGAGCAAGGCGTGAGTGTGCACAGGACTGGGGCACGCAGCAGCTCCATGGTATGCTGTGTGTCCTCTTACATGGCAGGCCACCTCCAGGTCAGCAGATGAGAATCACCTGATGGGTGGAAAGAGTGGATTTAGGTAAAATGTCAGACTGTGCATCGCAACTGAGAGAATTTATGTGTTTGTCTGATGGGTCATAACGCTAATCAAAGTGACAACACAGGGATAATAGAGCAGGTGAGTAAATGCAGTAAGCCACCTGCCACCTCTCCAGGGCATCAATCATCCCATAGAAATATTGGGGCAGCAGGATTTGACAAACTTGTGAGAAGAGCTCTCAGTTCAGGGTCCAAGGCATGATCTAGAGGACTCAGGTGTTGAGGGACCTCTGTCCCCAGGGAAATAACTACATTTTTGCCCCAGATCTTCACGCCTCACTGTGGTAACTCTGGGCAAGTCACTCAAAACGTCTTAAGGTTTAATTCATTGACTTGGAAAATACGGGTTGTATCCCCTGCTCTGCCCATCCCTCGGGGATAATTTGGGGATCAAGGAAATGACAGATTTCTTTCACGAGCCGGAAAGCATCATGCCCATGGAAACAGTGAAGTCACTTTCCACCGTCCCCTGCCTGGGAGCCATACACGCTCCCTCTCTGTATCCTACCACTACCAAGTATCTGGACTATTCTTCCAGACATTGAATGATTGAACACTTCTGGGCATTTACAAAGCATGAGTCTTCTTAAGCCTTTATCTGTATCTCATTGTTTTTAGCCCAATAGATCTTAGTAGGTCTATAGCATAGATCTACTAACATTCCCACATCTCAGAATAGGGAACTGAGGCACAGAGGGGTTCATTTCACTCTCCCACGTATGTGCAGATTCTAAGGAGGATTTGAACCCAGGCCATTCTTGGTGACTTGCATCTGCTGCTTTTCTATATTGTCTCATCTAAATAAAGGTATCTGCCTGCACAAACAGTCCGTTTTAAGTGCAATGAACCTTGCAAAATCCTCCTGGAACCCAAATCTAATTCAGGTAGAGTTGAAAAGCAGACGGTAAAAACTGGGATCAAAAGTTTCATCTGGGAATAAGTTTTTACTAATTTCTCTGCTGTCCTCTGCCAGCAACATGTCAAGCACTGTCTTTATTATAATACATTTCCTAGAATCTAAGAAGTCTGCTCTACCTTGCAGATTTGGCCGCCCGTCCCAAGCGCTGGACAACAAAAATAGGGAGACGGAACAAAATTTGGCCTGTAGGAAATAAAGGTAGTGTGGAAATTAAATCATTAAATTCACTTAAGCAAATCTTTCGACACCAAGGAGAATGGTCCAGTAGCAGCTCAGTCCATGCTTCAACCGCCCCCCTCCATACACTCCAGCCCCGGACCACATTCCCCAAGGTTCCTTGTGGGATTCCTCAGCAACACCAATGCACTGACTGTCACTCTATCTTCTAGGCTCTGATGAAGATCGGCAGGTGCCTGCACGTGGTGGGGTGGAGAATATGAAATCAGAACTTGTAAGACGTATTTCTTTCTCTGGTAGAGAATTTTTTTTTAAATTTGTTTTTGTTTTTTCTGGGGCTTCTAGACTATCAAGTGAATATCATTTTTGACTGCCATCATGGATCAGGCTTTAGTTGGTCATGGACTCTAGCGACTGGTCACTAGAGGTTATGACCAAATGAGGCCTGATTGACGATGGCAGTCAAAGGATGGCATCACTTACAAATTGTTTCGTAGTGAGTGTATTTCTCAGTAGCTACCTTTTCTCCCTGAAAAATAGTTTTGTATTTGCCAGCCAACAAGGACACTTGCTAAATATTCCCCAAATGAAACTCACTGCATTTTCCACAAGCATCCTCTATGCTTTCTTTCGGGGCCAGTTACCTGACACTGTTTTGTTTTTTTCTCTTATTGCAGAGAAAGTCGAACGCCCAGGCTAACCTCTGTACGTATTCTTTTTTTTTTTTTATTTAACAGCTTTATTTAAACGTAGTTGACATGCAAAACAATGTACCCATTTAAAGTAGGTGATTCAGCGTTTTTAGATCTACTAACATTCCCACATCTCAGAATAGGGAACTGAGGCACAGAGGGGTTCATTTCACTCTCCCAGGTATGTGCAGATTCTAAGTAGCATTTGATCCCAGGCCACTCTTGGTGACTTGGATCTGTTGCTTTTCTATATTGTCTCATCTAAATAAAGGTATCTCCCTGCACAAACAGTCCGTTTTAAGTGCAATGAACCTTGCAAAATCCTCCTAGAACCCAAATCTAATTCAGGTAGAGTTGAAAAGTCGACAGTAAAAACTGGGATCAAAAGTTTCATCTGGGAATAAGTTTTTACTAATTTCTCTGCTGTCCTCTGCCAGCAACAATGTCAAGCGCTGTCTTTATTATAATACATTTCCTAGAATCTATAAGAAGTCTGCTCTACCTTGCAGGTTTGGCCGCCCGTCCCAAGCGCTGGACACCAAAACTATGGAGACGGAACAAAATTTGGCCTGTAGGAAATAAAGGTAGTGTGGAAATTAAATCATTAAGTTCACTTAAGCAAATTATTCCAGTTTATTCCTTCAGTGCCCCACATTAGAGAAACTCAGTAAATGCTGTGTCATGTTCTTCATTTATTTCATTTGTGCCAATTTATGCATTAAATCAATAGTGGGTGATACAACTACACAAGTAAAGTAACACTGACAACTTAGAGTTCAGTTCTTTTTTTTTTAGTATTTTATTTTTTTGTGAAAAGGTCTCCTTTGTCGCCCAGGAATGCACTGGTGCGATCACAGCTCACTGCGATCTTGACCTCCCCAGGTTCAGGTGATCCTTCCACTCAGCCTCCCAAGTAGCTGGCCATAAATCACACGCCACTATAACAAGTTAATTATTGGCCGGGCGCGGTGGCTCAAGCCTGTAATCCCAGCACTTTGGGAGGCCGAGACGGGTGGATCACGAGGTCAGGAGATCGAGACCATCCTGGCTAACACAGTGAAACCCCGTCTCTACTAAAAATACAAAAAACTAGCCGGGCGAGGTGGCGGGTGCCTGTAGTCCCAGCTACTCAGGAGGCTGAGGCAGGAGAATGGCTTAAACCCGGGAGGCAGAGTTTGCAGTGAGCTGAGATCCGACCACTGCACTCCAGCCTGAGCGACAGAGCGAGACTCCGTCTCAAAAAAAAAAAAAAAAACAAGTTAATTATTATTTTATTATTATTATTATTATTGTAGAGAAGGGATTTCACCATTCTGCCCAGGCTGGGTTCACTTTTGACAGTAAAGGACATCTCAAATGTTTAGACATTTGCTTTCAGTTTGGTCAATTATGAATACAGCTATTAGAAACCTTCCTGTGTCTTGTTTGGAAACATAATTTTTAAAATGTAACTGAGGAAATACTTTGGATTATGATTACTTGCTTGTATGGTAAGACTATATTTTTCTTTGTAAGAATTTTGGTAGAATTTACCAGTGAAATCATCTGAATATAGTGTTTTAGTTTTTTGAAAAGATATTAATCATTGATTGAATATCTAAAATTCTAAAGTAAATATAGGCCTATTCAGATGATCTATTTCTCCTGAGAAGACTTTTGGTCTTCTAAAATAGATTTTAAAAAGTAGCTCATTTCATCTACTGTATCCAATTGTGAGCACAGATGTGTTCAGAATATTCCTTTATTATTTACTAGTTTTTGATTTGACTCCTCTTAAACTAATATTATTAGTATATTGTGACTTCTTTCTTTCCTTTGTGGGTAGCCGTGGTAGAGGTTTATCAATGTTACTGATCTTTTCAAAGAACCAGCTTTTGGTTTTGTTGATTTTCTCTGGATTTCCTGTTTTCTATTCCATTGTATTCCGCAATCATTATTTATTTATCATCTGTTCTATGTTACACTGCTGTTTTTCTCTCATTGCCCAAGGTGAAGCTTCACTTATGAATTAAGACTTTTCTCATTGTTGACACAGCATCCTGAATGTAACTCATTGAATGTAATCTCATTAAAATGCACACTTAATAATTAAAATGGTAAAGATGTGTGCTTTACTACAACTTGAACAATACAACAGGGTAGATGATAAACATGGTGGCAGGGTATGTAGATTCACAGAAGTTAAATGATCTTGTAACATTTCATAAAACTGGGGATTTGCCTGGACCTTCAAATGGGGAGGAGGTGTGATGAGATGCTGTCGCTGAACCATACAGTGCCTTTCTGTATTAAACTGTTCTGAAGGTGACTATTTCACATTGATGAGGTTGCCCTAGCTAGAAAGCCAAGGCTCTTTCAATTCTTTCTGCCCCTCTCCTCTGCCTGCCTTCGACACCAAGGAGAATGGTCCAGCAGCATCTCAGCCCATGCTTGTCAACCGCCCACTTGCATACACTCCATACACCCCAAAGTTCCTTGTGGGATTCCTCAGCAACACCAATGCACTTACCGTCACTCTGTGTTCTCCTAGATTCTGATGAACATCTTGAGGAATCTGCACAGAGCGATGTGGAGGAGAACATGAGATCAGAACTTGTAAGACGTATTTCTTTCTCTGGAAGAGAAATTTATTTTGTTTTTTCTGGGGTCACTAGAGGTTATGACCAAATGAGGCCTGATTGACGATGGCAGTCAAAGGACGGCATCACTTACAAACTGTTTGGTAGTGAGTGTATTTCTCAGTAGCTACCTTTTCTCCCGGAAAAATAGTTTTGTATTTGCCAGCCAACATGGACACTTGCTAAATATTCCCCAAATAAAACTCACTGCATTTTCCACAAGCATCCTCTATGCTTTCTTTCGGGGCCAGTTACCTGATACTGTTTTGTTTTTTTCTCTTAATGCAGAGAAAGTCGAACGCCCAGGGTAACCTCTGTACGTATTCTTTTTTTTTTTTTTTTTAACAGCTTTATTTAAACGTAGTTGACATGCAAAACAATGTACCCATTTAAAGTAGGTGATTCAGCGTTTTTAGATCTACTAACATTCCCACATCTCAGAATAGGGAACTGAGGCACAGAGGGGTTCATTTCACTCTCCCACGTATGTGCAGATTCTAAGTAGCATTTGATCCCAGGCCATTCTTGGTGACTTGGATATGCGGCTTTTCTATATTGTCTCATCTAAATAAAGGTATCTCCCTGCACAAACAGTCCGTTTTAAGTGCAATGAACCTTGCAAAATCCTCCCAGAACCCAAATCTAATTCAGGTAGAGTTGAAAAGTCGACAGTAAAAACTGGGATCAAAAGTTTCATCTGGGAATAAGTTTTTACTAATTTCTCTGCTGTCCTCTGCCAGCAACAATGTCAAGCACTGTCTTTATTATAATACATTTCCTAGAATCTATAAGAAGTCTGCTCTACCTTGCAGGTTTGGCCGCCCGTCCCAAGCGCTGGACACCAAAACTATGGAGATGGAACAAAATTTGGCCTGTAGGAAATAAAGGTAGTGTGGAAATTAAATCATTAAGTTCACTCAAGCAAATAATTCCAGTTTATTCATTCAGTGCCCCACATTAGAGAAACTCAGTAAATGCTGTGTCATGTTCTTCATTTATTTCATTTGTGCCAATTTATGCATTAAATCAATAGTGGGTGATACAACTACACAAGTAAAGTAACACTGACAACTTAGAGTTCAGTTCTTTTTTTTAGTATTTTATTTTTTTGTAAAAAGGTCACCTTTTTCGCCCAGGAGTGCACTGGTGCGATCACAGCTCACTGCGATCTTGACCTCCCCAGGTTCAGGTGATCCTTCCACTCAGCCTCCCAAGTAGCTGGCCATAAGTCACATGCCACTATAACAAGTTAATTATTATTATTATTATTATTATTGTTATTGTAGAGAAGGGATTTCACCATTCTGCCCAGGCTGGATTCACTTTTGACAGTAAAGGACATCTCAAACGTTTAGACATTTGCTTTCAGTTTGGTCAATTATGAATACAGCTATTAGAAACCTTCCTGTGTCTTGTTTGGAAACATAATTTTTAAAATGTAACTGAGGAAATACTTCGGATTATGATTACTTGCTTGTATGGTAAGACTATATTTTTCTTTGTAAGAATTTTGGTAGAATTTACCAGTGAAATCATCTGAATATAGTGTTTTAGTTTTTTGAAAAGATATTAATCATTGATTGAAAATCTAAAATTTTAAAATAAATATAGGCCTATTCAGATGATCTATTTCTCCTGAGAAGACTTTTGGTCTTCTAAAATAGATTTTATAAATTTGCTCATTTCATCTACTGTATCCAATTGTGAGCACAGATGTGTTCAGAATATTCCTTTATTATTTACTAGTTTTTGATTTGACTCCTCTTAAACTAATATTATTAGTATACTGTGACTTCTTTCTTTCCTTTGTGGGTAGCCGTGGTGGAAGTTTATCAATGTTACTGATCTTTTCAAAGAACTGGCTTTTGGTTTTGTTGATTTTCTCTGGATTTCCTGTTTTCTATTCCATTGTATTCTGCAATCATTATTTATTTATCATCTGTTCTATGTTACACTGCTGTTTTTCTCTCATTGCCCAAGGTGAAGCTTCAATTATGAATTAAGATTTTTCTCATTATTGACACAGCATCCTGAATGTAACTCATTGAATGTAATCTCATTAAAATGCACACTTAGGCCCGGCGCGGTGGCTCAAGCCTGTAATCCCAGCACTTTGGGAGGCCGAGGCGGGCGGATCACGAGGTCAGCAGATCGAGACCATCCTGGCTGACACGGTGAAACCCCGTCTCTACTAAAAAATACAAAAACTAGCCGGCGAGGTGGCGGCGCTGTAGTCCAGCTACGGGGAGGCTGAGCAGGAGATGCGTGAACCGGGAGGCGGAGCCTGCAGTGAGCTGAGATCCGGCCACTGCACTCCAGCCTGGGCGGCAGAGCGAGACTCCGTCTCAAAAAAAAAAAAAAAAAATGCACACTTAATAATTAAAATGGTAAAGATGTGTGCTTTACTACAATTTGAAAATACAACAGAGTAGATGATAAACGTAGTGGCAGGGTATATGTAGATCCACAGAAGTTAAATGATCTTGTAACGTTTCATAAAACTGGGGATTTGCCTGGACCTTCAAATGGGGAGGAGGTGTGACGAGATGCTGTCGCTGAACCATACAGTGCCTTTCTGTATTAAACTGTTCTGAAGGTGACTATTTCACATTGATGAGGTTGCCCTAGCTAGAAAGCCAAGGATCTTTCCATCTTTCTGCCCCTCTCCTCTGCCTGCCTTCGACACCAAGGAGAATGGTCCAGCAGCATCTCAGCACATGCTTGTCAACCGCCCACTTGCATACACTCCATACACCCCAAAGTTCCTTGTGGGATTCCTCAGCAACACCAATGCACTTACCGTCACTCTGTGTTCTCCTAGATTCTGATGAACATCTTGAGGAATCTGCACAGAGCGATGTGGAGGAGAACATGAGATCAGAACTTGTAAGACGTATTTCTTTCTCTGGAAGAGAAATTTATTTTGTTTTTTCTGGGGTCACTAGAGGTTATGACCAAATGAGGCCTGATTGACGATGGCAGTCAAAGGACGGCATCACTTACAAACTGTTTGGTAGTGAGTGTATTTCTCAGTAGCTACCTTTTCTCCCGGAAAAATAGTTTTGTATTTGCCAGCCAACATGGACACGTGCTAAATATTCCCCAAAAAAAAACCCACTGCATTTTCCACAAGCATCCTCTATGCTTTCTTTCGGGGCCAGTTACCTGATACTGTTTTGTTTTTTTCTCTTATTGCAGAGAAAGTCGAACGCCCAGGGTAACCTCTGTACGTATTCTTTTTTTTTTTTTAACAGCTTTATTTAAACGTAGTTGACATGCAAAACAATGTACCCATTTAAAGTAGGTGATTCAGCGTTTTTAGATCTACTAACATTCCCACATCTCAGAATAGGGAACTGAGGCACAGAGGGGTTCATTTCGCTCTCCCACGTATGTGCAGATTCTAAGTAGCATTTGATCCCAGGCCATTCTTGGTGACTTGGATCTGCTGCTTTTCTATATTGTCTCATCTAAATAAAGGTATCTCCCTGCACAAACAGTCCGTTTTAAGTGCAATGAACCTTGCAAAATTCCCCCAGAACCCAAATCTAATGTAGAGTTGAAAAGCCGACGGTAAAAACTGGGATCAAAAGTTTCATCTGGGAATAAGTTTTTACTAATTTCTCTGCTGTCCTCTGCCAGCAACAATGTCAAGCGCTGTCTTTATTATAATACATTTCCTAGAATCTATAGGAAGTCTGCTCTACCTTGCAGGTTTGGCCGCCCGTCCCAAGCGCTGGACACCAAAACTATGGAGATGGAACAAAATTTGGCGTTTCGGAAATAAAGGTAGTGTGGAAATTAAATCATTAAGTTCACTTAAGCAAATAATTCCAGTTTATTCATTCAGTGCCCCATATTAGAGAAACTCGGTAAATGCTGTGTTATGTTCTTCATTTACTTCCTTTGTGCCAATTTATGCATTAAATCAATGATGGGTGACACAATTACACAAGTAAAGTAACATTGACAACTTAGAGTTGAGTTCTTTCTTTCAGTATTTTATTTTTTTGTGAAAAGGTCTCCTTTGTCGCCCAGGAGTGCACTGGTGCGATCACAGCTCACTGCGATCTTGACCTCCCCAGGTTCAGGTGATCCTTCCACTTGGCCTCCCAAGTAGCTGGCCATAAGTCACATGCCACTATAACAAGTTAATTATTATTATTATTTTATTATTATTATTATTATTATTATTGTAGAGAAGGGATTTCACCATTCTGCCCAGGCTGGGTTCACTTTTGACAGTAAAGGACATCTCAAATGTTTAGACATTTGCTTTCAGTTTGGTCAATTATGAATACAGCTATTAGAAACCTTCCTGTATCTTGTTTGGAAACATAATTTTTAAAATGTAACTGAGGAAATACTTCGGATTATGATTACTTGCTTGTATGGTAAGACTATATTTTTCTTTGTAAGAATTTTGGTAGAATTTACCAGTGAAATCATCTGAATATAGTGTTTTAGTTTTTTGAAAAGATATTAATCATTGATTGAAAATCTAAAATTTTAAAATAAATATAGGCCTATTCAGATGATCTATTTCTCCTGAGAAGACTTTTGGTCTTCTAAAATAGATTTTATAAATTTGCTCATTTCATCTACTGTATCCAATTGTGAGCACAGATGTGTTCAGAATATTCCTTTATTATTTACTAGTTTTTGATTTGACTCCTCTTAAACTAATATTATTAGTATATTGTGACTTCTTTCTTTCCTTTGTGGGTAGCCGTGGTAGAGGTTTATCAATGTTACTGATCTTTTCAAAGAACTGGCTTTTGGTTTTGTTGATTTTCTCTGGATTTCCTGTTTTCTATTCCATTGTATTCGGCAATCATTATTTATTTATCATCTGTTCTATGTTACACTGCTGTTTTTCTCTCATTGTCTAAGGTGAAGCTTAGATTATAATTTATGAATTGATTTTTCTGATTATTGACACAGTATCCTGAATGTAACTCATTGAATGTAATCTCATTAAAATGCACACTTAATAATTAAAATTATAAAGATGTATGCTTTAGTACAACTTGAAAAATACAACAGAGTAGATGATAAACATAGTGGCAGGGTATGTAGATCCACAGAAGTTAAATGATCTGGTAACATTTCATAAAACTGGGGATTTGCCTGGACCTTCAAATGGGGAGGAGGTGTGATGAGATGCTGTCGCTGAACCATACAGTGCCTTTCTGTATTAAACTGTTCTGAAGGTGACTATTTCACATTGATGAGGTTGCCCTAGCTAGAAAGCCAAGGCTCTTTCAATTCTTTCTGCCCCTCTCCTCTGCCTGCCTTCGACACCAAGGAGAATGGTCCAGCAGCATCTCAGCCCATGCTTGTCAACCGCCCACTTGCATACACTCCATACACCCCAGGGTTCCTTGTGGGATTCCTCAGCAACACCAATGCACTGACCATCACTCTGTGTTCTCCTAGGATCTGTTGAACATCTGCAGGCGTTCCCACATGACGGTGTGGAGGACAATACGGGATCAGAACTTGTAAGACGTATTTCTTTCTCTGGAAGAGAAATTGTTTTTGTTTTTTTCTGGGGCTTCTAGACTATCAAGTGAATATCATATTTGACTGCCATCATGAATCAGGCCTCAGTTGGTCGTGGACTTTAGCGACCAGTCACTGGAGGTTATGACCAACTGAGGCCTGATTGATGATGGCAGTCAAAGGATGGCACCACTTACAAACTGTCTGGTAGTGAGTATGTTTCTCAGTAGCAACCTTTTCCTCTTGAAAAATAATTTTGTATTTGTCAGCCAACATGGACACTTGCTATATATAACCAAAAAAACCCCCCGGCATTTTCCACAAGCATTCTCTATGCTTTATTTGGGGGCCAGTGACTTGATCACTGCTTGACATCCGGTTTTTTATTTCAGCAAGTGAATAAAAGGCCTTTGCCAACAGAACCCAGCATCATCTGATCCTCATGGTGTTTCTTTTTCTTTTCTCTTTTTGCAGGATTTATCTACAGCTGAGTATGACAACCGTACGTATTTAAAAAAAAAAAAACAACAACTTTGTTTAGATGTAGTTGACATGCAAAACAATTCACCCATTTAAAGTAGGTGATTCAGCGTTTTTACTATATTTACACGGTTGTGCAACCATTGTTACAATCTCATCTTAGAACCTCTTTATTACCCCTCAAAGAAATCCCACTAGTAGTCACTCCTCTGCTTTCCCAACCCTTAAGGTGACTATTTCACATTGATGAGGTTGTCCTAGCTAGAAAGCCTAGGATCTTTCATTTCTTACTGCCCCTCTCCTTTGCCTGCCTTCGACACCAAGGAGAATGGTCCAGCAGCAGCTCAGTCCATGCTTGTCAACCACCCCCCTCCATACACTGCAGCCCTGGTCCACAGCCCCCAAGGCTCCTTGTGGGATTCCTCAGCAACACCAATGCACTGACTGTCACTCTGTGTTCTCCTAGGTCCTGTTGAAGAGCTGCAGGAGCCTGCCCATGGCAGCGTGGAGGATATGAAATCAGAACTTGTAAGACGTATTTCTTTCTCTGGAAGAGAAATGTTTTTTTGTTTTGGTTTTTGTTTTTTCTGTGGCTTCTAGACTATCAAATGAATATCATTTTTGACTGCCATCATGGATCAGGCCTCAGTTGGTCATGGAGTCTAGCGACCAGTCACTGGAGTTTATGACCAACTGAGGCCTAACTGACCATGGCAGTCGAAGGATGGCACCACTTACAAACTGTCTGGTAGTGAGTATGTTTCTCAGTAGCAACCTTTTCTCCTTGAAAGATAATTTTGTATTTGCCAGCCAACATGGACACTTGCTATATATTCCCAAAAAACCCCCACGGCATTTTCCACAAGCATTCTCTTAGCTTTATTTGGCAGCCAGTGACTTGATCACTGCTTGACATCCGGTTTTTTATTTCAGCAAGTGAATAAAAGGCCTTTGCCAACAGAACCCAGCATCATCTGATCCTCATGGTGTTTCTTTTTCTTTTCTCTTTTTGCAGGAATTATCTACAGCTGAGTATGACGACCGTACGTATTTAAAAACAAAAAACCAGCTTTGTTTAGATGTAGTTGACATGCAAAATAATTCACCCATTTAAAGTAGGTGATTCAGCGTTTTTACTATATTTACACAGTTGTGCAACCATTGTTACAATCTCATCTTAGAACCTCTTTATTACCCCTCAAAGAAACCCCACTAGTAGTCACTCCTCTGTCTTTCCCAACTCTTCAGATGACTATTTCACATTGATGAGGTTGCCCTAGCTAGAAAGCCTAGGATCTTTCATTTCTTACTGCCCCTCTCCTTTGCCTTCCTTCAACACCAAGGAGAATGGTCTAGCAGCAGCTCAGTCCATGCTTGTCAACCACCCCCCTCCATACACTCCAGCCCTGGTCCACATCCCCCAAGGCTCCTTGTGGGATTCCTCAGCAACACCAATGCACTGACCGTCACTCTGTGTTCTCCTAGTTTCTGATGAAGATCTGCAGGAGCCTGCATATGGCGGCGTGGAGGATATGAAATCAGAACTTGTAAGACGTATTTCTTTCTCTGGAAGAGAAATGTTTTTTTTTGTTTTGTTTTTTGTTTTTTCTGGGGCTTCTAGACTATCAAGTGAATATTATTTTTGACTGCCATCATGGATCAGGCTTCAGTTGGTCATAACCTCTAGTGACCAGTCACTAGAGTACATGACCAACTGAGGCCTGATTGACGATGGCAGTCAAAGGACCGCATCACTTACAAACTGTTTGGTAGTGAGTGTCTTTCTCAGTAGCAACTTTTCTCCCTGGAAAATAGTTTTGTATTTGCCAGCCAACATGGACACTTGCTAAATATTTCAAAAAAAAAAACCCATTGCGTTTTCCACAAGCATCCTCTATGCTTTCTTTCGGGGCCAGTGACCTGATTACTGTTTTTTTTTTTTTTTTTTCTGTTATTGCAGAGCACTTCGAAAACCCAGTCTCAACTCTGTACGTATTCTTTTTTTTTTAACAGCTTTATTTAAACGTAGTTGACGTGCAAAACAATTTACTCATTTAAATTAGGTGATTCAGCGTTTCTACTATATTTACACGGTTGTGCAACCATTGTTACAATCTCATCTGAGAACCTCTTTATTCCCCCTCAAAGAAACCCCACTAGTAGTCACTCCTCTGTCTTTCCCAACTCCCACACCCCTGGATCTAGGCAGCCTCGAATCTACTTCCTGTTTCTATAGTACAGTGGCTTTCTGTATTAACCAGTTCTTAAGGTGACTATTTCACATTGATGAGGTTGCCCTAGGTAGAAAGCCAAGGCTCTTTCATTTCTTTCTGCCCCTCTCCTTTGCCTTCCTTCAACACCAAGGAGAATGGTCCAGCAGCAGCAGCTCAGTCCATGTTAGTCAACGGCCCACCTCCATACACTCCAGCCCCAGTCCACAGCCCCCAAGGCTCCTTGTGAGATTCCTCAGCAGCACCAATGCACTGACTGTCACTCTATCTTCTCCTAGATTTGGTCGAAGATCTCAGTGAGGGTCCATCTGGTGGTCTTGAAGATCTCATGACATCGGAGATGGTAAGATGCATTTCTTTGTCTGAAGAAATGTTTCTCCTGGTTCCTCTTGCCTTATTAATGAAATGAAGATACAAAAATCTGACCAAGTACATTATAGAAGACAAATGCAATTTTTTGTTGGCTGGAATATCAAGGGAATACCATATTTGATGGCTGTCGTCCATCAGGTCTTAGTTGATCATGGACTCTAGTGACTGGTCACTGGAGTTTATGACCAACTGAGTCCTGTTGGATGATGGTGGTCAAAAATGACAGCATCACTTACAAACTATCTTGTAGTGAGCATATTTCTCAGTAGCAACTTTTGCTTCTTGAAAAATATTTTGTATTTGCCAGCCAACATGGACTTGCTAAATATTCCATGAAAACCCATTGCCTTTTCCACAAGCATCGTCTATGCTTCCTTCACGGGGCCAGTGACTTGATCACTGTTTGACATGTTGTTTTGTAATGTCACCAAGTGAATAAAAGATCTGTGCTGGCCGGGCGTGGTGGCTCACGCCTGCAATCCCAGCACTTTGGGAGGCTGAGGCAGGCGGATCACGAGATCAGGAGATTGAGACCATCCTGGCTAACATGGTGAAACCCCGTCTCTACTAAAAATACAAAAAATTAGCTAGGTGTGGTGGCGGGCACCTGTAGTCCCAGCTACTCGGGAGGCTGAGGCAGGAGAATGGCATGAACCCGGGACATGGAGCTTGCAGTGAGCCAAGAGCGCGCCACTGCACTCCAGCCTGGGCGACAGAGCGAGACTCCGTCAAAAAAAATAAAAGATCTGTGCCAACAGGACTCCATGTGATCTGATCCTCATAGTGTTTTCCTTTCTCCTATTGCAGGCAAAGGAGAGACGCCAAGCTTACCTCTGTAAGTGTGTGTGTGTGTGTGTGTGTGTGTGTGTGTGTGTGTATTTTGTTTGTTTTTTATTTGAGACGAAGCCTTGTTCTTTTCCCCTAGGCTGGGCTGAGATGGCAGAATCTCGACTCAAGAAATCCCCCAGCTCCCAGGTTCGAGGACTTCTCCGGCTTCCGCGTCCCAAGTAGCTGGGATCAGGGATGCCTGCCACCACCCCCAGCTACCATCATTTTATGAATGCATATTTCCATCTGGGTGAAAAAAAACATCGCAAACCCCTTTCTCTTCCTACTGAGCACCTGTGAACAGTGACCTGCAGTTTGTGGCTGTAGCCAGTCCTCAGGGAGCCTGGTGTTCTTACATTTCATTCTGAGGCTCACATTCTCAGTCACCCTGCAGGAGAACACCCGCCCCATCCTGGGTCATTACAGGGTGTGCCCATCCATCTGCTGCATCTGAGGAGCTGGGTCCAGCTTCTACGGTGAATCCATATATTTCTGTGTTTCCTGGATAAGGAAGAGGAAAGGAGCTGAGCTGGGGGAGGAAGAAGAGGTAATATTAACTGACTCCTTATTTTGTACCAGGCACTGTACTAGTTACATATCCTTTTATCTCATGTAATTCTTACCAAACAGTAAGGGGGTTGGGAGTGATAGGGACAATACTGTTACCTCCATTTTAGGGTGAGAAAATGAAGGCTCAGAAAGGTTAAATAACTTGCCCAAGGTCACTCAGTTGCTAAGAGCCAGGTTATGAAACAGAAGCTTTATATTAGATGGGTTCAAATTTATTTTCAATTTCCCTGCTCCATTCTGAATATGCATTGGCATTTACCCTTGGGCTATGTAGGACAAGTGCTTTGTCACCAAAACACCTATTGTGAACTCTTTCTGCCCTAGTATGATTCATGCATTTTATCTTCTTCAAACTAAAAACCTTTAAGAGTCAGGAACCTGCCATGCAGACTCTCAACTTAAACCTCAGCCACTTTTACCCTAAAATTCAGACTTGTGTAGACATCTCTAGAAGACTTGGTGGACTAATCTTTAAGAGTTCGTTTGCATGAGGGAGGAAGGGGAGCCCAAATTTGGACAAAGTCCGTTTCTTAGAGTTCCTCCAGCCCAGTCTGAGTGGTAGAAATCAGGAACTGAAAATAAATCTGAAAGTTGTTTGAAATCATGGTAAGACATGGGGAACATAATATACTGGGGGCTTGTGTTATAAATGAGGCTATTTTTCTATTTTTAGTATTTTGTATTTTTAGTAGAGATGGAGTTTCACCATGTTGGCCAGGCTGGTCTCGAGCTCCTGATCTCAAGTGATCCCCCCCACCTCAGCCTCCAAAAGTGCTGGGATTACAGGCGTGAGCTACCGCGCCCAGCCCACTGTAAGTGTGTATATATATGGGCTTAGAGGCGTGAGCTACCGCGCCCAGCCCACTGTAAGTGTGTATATATATAATAGAAATAGAATACATATGGCTGGGCACGGTGGCTCACGCCTGTAATCCCAGCACTTTGGGAGGCCGAGGCGGGTGGATCACGAGGTCAGGAGATTGAGACCATCCTAGCTAACACAGTGAAACTCCGTTTCTACTAAAAATACAAAAAATTAGCCGGGCGTGGTGGCGGGCGCCTGTGGTCCCAGCTACTCCGGAAGCTTAGGCAGGAGAAAGGTGTGAACCCAGGAGGCAGAGCTTGCAGTGAGCCAAGATCGCGCCACTGCACTCCAGCCTGGGAGACAGAAGGAGACTCTGTCTCAAAAAATATATTTATATATAATATAGTAGATAACATTATATATGCTATATAATATATTGTATATATACTATATAATATAAATGTATAATATATATATTACATATAATACAAATATATAATATATATTATATTATATATAATATAAACACATTTCTGGCCCAGAAATGTGTTTCAACTAGACGTAGCCCCCCAGTTCTTGGCCAGGGCAGTGACAGCGCTCCCGAGTAGCAGGGGAGGTGGGGAGAGACATGAGATCCAGCACAGGGTGAGCTCAGCAAAGGGGTGGGGACTGACCCTAGAGTTCAGGTCATCCTCGCAACTCTTCTGTGGAATCCGCAACACCTCAGTTTCCACTTATTTTGGAGGTAGTTTAACATCGTCAGTATCACGCTCGGAGTCTTCCCGCAGATGGAAGAGGAACCCTGGCCATGGGTGTTTACTGCCAGGGCAGTGACTGTCTCTTCCTCGTTTGTCCTTATCCCAGAGCTCAGTCCTGGGGGAGACATGTTAGGCCCCATGGATGTTTTAATGAACACACCCCCTAGGATGAGCTCTAGGTCGCCCCCAGGCTGGGATCTAGTGCAGGTGTGGAAGGGTTTTCTTCTCAGCCTGTTGAGCCCCACACTCATCCTGGAGCCTGCCCAGCTTCTGAGTCAGGGTCGCTGGAGATGAGGGTGAGCTCCTGAGGACGGCGAGATGCCCCTACCCCTCTGCTCCTGCTGCTCTGATCTTGTCTCAACAGGGCGTGCAGAGCCATGCTCGTCCACTGGGTGCAAGAGCGCCCCCTGCTGGAATCCATCTGGACCTGGATATTGTCCTCATGATCATATCCCCAGCCCCACAGAGTGACTGACCCTTGTGCAGATGCCCAGGAAGTAACCTTAAATGTAGGCTAGAATCAGAGCAGCAAATGATTCTGCAAAAAAACAAACAAACAAACGAAAAACTCCAGGATAAGGGAGTCGTATCTTCCTCATGTCTGGATCTCTGGAGCTGTCCCGTCTAGTGTGGTTCTCAGTCATATATGTGCCTCTTCATGGTTAAATAAATTTAAATATATACAATTAAAAATTCAGAACCTCATCACAACAGCCACCATGCAATGGCCCAGCAGCCACATGTTTATACAGCTCGACTTTTCCTTCTTTCTACCCTTTGATGAGAACATGATCTTCAGGCTGGCGCTGGTTTACCGGAAATTCTAGGGGTGGTACATGTGCTAAAAGACTTTTAGTTTTGAGGGAAAGGAAAGTGAAAGATCAAATCAAGTATATAATTTTTAAGAAATGGACCTTTTGTTTTAAATGTGGGGACATCAGCAGTGAACTTTATAGTCCTTGGTGCCTTCTTACCGAGAAATTTCCTTTAGCATCTATTTTTGTTAGTTTTTAAGACCAAAGAAATCCAAACACCATTTTATATTTGACAATGCTTCCTGTATGTTTATACCAGATAAGCTAGGTTTCACCTTTATATTAGTGTTATTAATGTTCCACTTAGTTTTAATAAAACTTTGTAAACATATTTATTCAATTTTTAATGTCTGACCATAAGATAAGATTTTTCTAGACTTTTTTAACCTTTTATAATTTTTGTCAAAGAGCAGGCTAGTGCTTTCAGAAAAACCCGTTGTATTTTTCTTTTAATGTCCAGTTCACAGAAAAACTGGATGATACCCCTTTAACTGTAGCCAATATGTTTACACACAGAATTTTCCTTACAATTAATGTTTCAAAACTTGCTTAAACCTTCAAAACAATTTTTAACCTTTTAATGTAAGTAAAAATAAACATTCTTATGCCTCCTTATAATCCTTTTACCAAAGGCATATGTTACTTTCCTTATACACTTTGCACATAAACTGTTTCTTCAATAGTTTTACATTCAGGAGGATTAAATTATACATCATTTCTTTCATAAATTTTTCTGACACTTTTTTTATGACTTTCACAGACAATTCTTCGACATGCCTCATATAACATATGGAAAACAGAATTTTCCATATAACATTCCTTTTTATATAAACTCTGCCCCCCCTTTGTTGTTGTTGTTGTTGTTGTTGTTGTTGTTGTTTTCAAAGATGATAACCATTCTTTTGCAAAGCAGACTTCCTTCATATCTGTGGACTAGACTGTCTAAGGCCACAGATTAGAAGTTACTATAATACATGTTACATTGTTAACTTTTAGCAAACTTTACTTTTGTTGAAAACTTTTAAGTGTGGGATTTCAATTATCCTTTGTATTAACAAGACTTTGTTTAGTCCAAATTAACTTAGAATTAGTGTAGATGGCTTTATTCTGTAAGTACTTTAAGGCTTGGCTAAGTGCAAACAGCTCACAGATTTGAGCAGACCAATTATTGGGCAATTTTTCTAACTCTGCTTCTACAAGAGTTTCACTGAATTACAGAATACCCATTGTGGGTTTTTTTTCCTCAGTCACCTGGGAGAAACTATCAATCATCCTGTCCTGAAGGGAGTTCTTCCTAGGTCTGGTCGGACCTTTGTATGGCAATTAAGATTTAAATCCCCCGTTAGGAAATCTGCTGGGTTAAGAGAATTTTCAGGGGTTTATGTTAAATCATCTTTTTCTAACAGAATAGCCCTATACTTGAAGATTTTTGAGTTAGTAAGCTACCTTTTTTCTTTTTTTTCTTTTCTTTTTTTTTCTTTTTAACTTAGGATACTTCTTAACTGGTGAGGTGTGCTCACAATTAGGTTTCCTCTAAATTTATTTTTCTACTTTCTTCTGTTAGCAAAGCAGTTGCCGCTACAGACTGAATGCATTTGAACCATCTGTGGGATACTGGGTTCAAGGAATTCACACCAAATCAGAATCAAAACCAAAACCAAAGTGCCGATAAAGGCACGCCATGGGTGATCAGGCCACACATCAACCAAAATGGAGTGGGCAAGTTCCCAAGACTGGTCCTGTCAAGCAATTCAAACCAAGTCAAAATCAAAACCCAAATCAGGCCGGGCGTGGTGGCTCAAGCCTGTAATCCCAGCACTTTGGGAGGCCGAGACAGGCGGATCACGAGGTCAGGAGATCGAGACCATCCTGGCTAACACAGTGAAACCCCGTCTCTACTAAACAAATACCAAAAAAACTAGCCGGGCGTGGTGGCGGGCGCCTGTAGTCCCAGCTACTCGGGAGGCTGTGGCAGGAGAATGGCGTAAACCTGGGAGGTGGAGCTGGCAGTGAGCTAAGATCCGGCCGCTGCATTCCAGCCTGGGTGACAAAGTGAGATCCGTCTCAAAAAAAAAGAAAAAAAAGACTTATAAAGACTTATAACCATTTCTTTTTAAAAATCAGTTAAGGGCCGGGCACGGTGGCTCAAGCCTGTAATCCCAGCACTTTGGGAGGCCGAGACGGGTGGATCACGAGGTCAGGAGATCGAGACCATCCTGGCGAACCCAGTGAAACCCCGTCTCTACTAAAAAAACACAAAAAACTAGCCGGGCGAGGTGGCGGGCGCCTGTAGTCCCAGCTACTCAGGAGGCTGAGGCAGGAGAATGGTGTGAACCCGGGAGGCGGAGCTTGCAGTGAGCTGAGATCTGGCCACTGCACTCCAGCCTGGGCAACAGAGCGAGACTCCGTCTCAAAAAAAAACAAAAACAAAAACCAAAAAAAAAACCCAAAAGTGCCGATAAAGGCATGCTATGGGTGATCGGGCCACGCTTCCACTCAAATGGAGTGGGCAAGTTCCCAAGACCGGTCCTACTGTATTCCAGATATCCAGACTCCAAGAGCCGGTTCCTTCCCGGTGTTCAACCAGTGTGTTGATTCTCCGCGGGGGCCTGCAGTGCACTGCTCTGACGAGGCATTCCACCAGGGCAAATGCCTGCCCAGGAGCATGCTCAGGATCCACATAGCTCAAGCTGGCCGGAGTCCCCTGCAGGGATGCTCCACAGGACAGGCCTAAGCCGCCTAAGGGGCTGCCTTACTGCCCGGTCAGGGAACCAAGAAATGTAGCAGGATGAGCCACAGACAAAAGTCTTCAGGCACCAGGTTAAAGAAGGAAGAGGCTTTATTCAGCCAGGAGGTCGACAGTCTTGCGTCTCAAGAACAGAACTGAGCTCTCCAAAGACTTCATTCAGCCAGGAGCATCGATAGACTTGCATCTCAAGAACAGAACCGAGCTCTCCAAAGACTTCATTCGGCCAGGAGCGTCGATAGACTTGCGTCTCAAGAACAGAACCGAGCTCCCTGAAGAAAGAGTTCCTGGCCCTTTTAAGGGCTTACAACTCTAAGGCATCCACGTGACAGGGTCGTGATAGGCTGAGCAAGCTTGGGGTACATGACCAGGTGGGTACGTGATCTACAGATAGCACAAGTGATTAGGGTGGGGGTTAATCTTTAGCCCACAGGCCTGGCCAATGGCCCCGATCAGTCTGTTATTTTTCAGTTTTTACTTCCTCCTTTTCTTTGGAGAGAGGAGACAGTAAGAGGAATGGCCTCTGTCCTCATTCTGGGCCATCTTTCTCCTGCTTCATGCCTGAAGTTACCCATTAACCCCAAGTGGACTGGTTCCTTGAAGTGGGAAGCGGCATTTAGAGATCACACTCGGGCTGCTACTCGCACAGCCCTTTTGAGTCAGACACCCCAAACACACCCAAAAGGGACACGAGACCCTGAGAGGGCGATAGGAGCTTGCTTCCAACTTCTCCCTGGAGGTTGAGGCTGGACTTTCTTACACCTGGCGAGACCCATCCCAAACTAAGACACCACCAGGGAGGATGGAAGGGAGACCCTGGAGCTGTGTTGTGGTCAGATTGGACCTTCCCATGGCTGCTGAGACTCTGGAACAAGCTGTCCCTTCTCTGGGGCACTAGGGACACCTGAGGATGCCTCCCTGCTCTTACTTTGTGGTCACAGCAAGAGATCAGGGTTACAACTACCCTGTAGTGTAGAGAATTCCTGTCCCTTTCCATGTCACTTCCCTCCTTAGGGAAGCAAACGCCCTCCCAGGAGCCCATTCCCATTCCTGGGCCACAGTTAAAGGGAAAACCTGATCCAGACACGAACTTCCTTGGGCCTCTGCATTTCCAGATGTCCTGTCATTGCGTGTGTGGGGCTGACTGTCTCATCTCAGCTTGAGAAGGGCAGGCAGGGGTGTGGACACTCTGCTGAGCAAATGCCCGCCGGAGTCAGTGGTTCCGATTTCCTGAATCACGGTGGCAGGTGGGGGCTGGGGAGGGGGGCACAGGGAGTTCTAGGGAGTAGTTTTTGTATGAGCCTGTGTCACAGTGTTTGATATTTAGCAGAGACCCATCTGACCATCCTAAAGAAAGGTGCAACAGAAACTCACTTCACAGGGCCTTCATGATAACTGAGTGAGACAACATACTTAAGTATCTGGTCCTTGATATCTGAGAGATACTGAGTAATGAAAATGATCCTTTCTCCCTCTCTGATACTTAACGTGGCCCCTTACCTTGGGCTGCTGGTTCTGGAGGGTCGCAGGGAAGCAGGATGGTTCACGCTGCTTTCACCACAAGCTCTGGCACCCAGTAAGAACCAGCACGGCATGCATGGAGCACACACCATACACCGGGCTTGGTGCTAAGAACCTTACATACTTGATCTCATTTAACTGCCCTTAGAAGTCAGGGGATGATCCCCATTTCACAGAATACTGAGGTTCATAAATGTCAAATAACCTGCCTGGAGGAGCCAGGTCCGAGAACAAGGTCCGTGCTCATAGCCACGTGGTACCCGTGGTCCCAGAGTTACAGGCCTTCTGAAGACGTGAAATTTGGTTAGAGATCAATTTTCTGTCTCTGGAATCATCATATCCCCTCTCAATTCTTATGTGTTTACAGGCAAGGACGTGTCAACGTAGAGACCTAGGAGGACAAAGTGAACTTCCTGAGCCCCAACAGGCAGGAGTCCTGCCAAAGCCAAAATGTATCACCTTGGAAGATGATGCCCCAGGAAGAATGGGGAGGAGGGAGGAGGAAAAACCGCTGATGAGGCTGACTCGCTCTTTAGGGCCCGTCGTATCAGCAAAGCCAGCTCTTTTGAGATGGAAGAACAAAGATGTTTCTCCTCTGTGAGGAGGTGATAATGGTGTTCTGGGTGAAGTAGAGCAGCTTTGTCCTGGAAGGAATCTGACTTGGAAGGAGGCCCAGTTGTCCAGCAGGCGCCTGCTCCCTTTCTGCTCTGGCTTCCAAAGGGCTCTCTGCAGAGCTCCTTCCCAGAGCTGCTGGCAGGAGGTCCTTGCTGGGGGGCAATCCATGGGGACGTCTGGAGCAGTGGGAGCCTATGTTGGGACCCGGACGGCAGCTGCTCCACCTCAGCACCCGGACTATGAGGCACAAGGCTGGGCACCACGAGGCCGTGAGTGAAAGCAGCCTGGATTTGGATTTCAGAAGAACTGGGCTTGAGTCCTAGTTCTGCCACAAACCATGTGACTCTTAGGCAGTCACTTTATGTTTTTATTTCCTTGGCAGTAAAACTGTCCTTACCTACAATATGGGAATTGTAAGGAACTACTGAGAAAACAAATCTCAAAATGTTCTGTGCAGACTCTCAAATACTGTGCAAATATTAAACTGTTGTAAAATTCAGTCTCTGCCTTTGAGATTTTACAATCTGGTGAGCAGGTAAACACAAGCACACATAACAAGACAACAGTCTCCATTTAGTGCTGGGTGATGGGAACAGAAAGCAAATGCTTTGAGTTTGGGATAGTGGGCTGGGGTGATGAGGGAAGGCAGGAACGCGGGGAAGGCAGACCGTGATTTTTTTTTTTTTTTTTTTTTTTTGAGAGGGAGTCTTGCTCTGTTGCCCAGGTTGGGGTGCGGTGGCGTGATCTCGCCTCACTGCAACCTCTGCCTCCCGGGTTCCAGCAATTCTCTGTCTCAGCCTCCTGAGCAGCTGAAATTACATGTGCCTGCCACCACGCCCGGCTTATTTTTGTATTTTTAGTAGAGATGGGGTTTCACCATCTTGGCCAGGTGGTCTTGAACTCCTGACCTCATGATCCACCCGCCTCGGCCTCCCAAAGTGCTAGGATTACACGTGTGAGCCACCGTGCCTGGCCTTGAATGGGTTTTTAAAGATTTGGGCAGACAAGCTGGGTCACTGGGTGCTCCCACAGAGGAAGCATGAGCCAAGGTGCAGCAGCCATTCTACACACAACCTGCTTTAGCCATCAGGTGCAACAGAGGCTGCACACCGGTGACACATTAGGAGAAATCCAATCTGCACGTGTGTTTTATTCACACCGCACAGTGTTTACTATCATCTGGCCACTTAAGACAGGGATATTTAAAATGAAAAATTCAGATTTCCCTTTTTTTTTTTTGAGACAGTCTCGCTCTGTCACCCAGGCTGGAGTGCAGAGGTGCAATCTTGGCTCACTGCAACATCCGACTCCCAGGTTCAAGCAATTCTCCTGCCTCAGTTTCCCGAGTAGCTGAGATTACAGGCGTACGCCACCACGCCTGGCTAATTTTTGTATTTTCAGTAGAGACAGGATTTTACCACATTGGCCAGGCTGGCGTCCAACTCCTGACCTCATGATCTGCCCACCTGGGCCTCCCAAAGTGCTAGGATTACAGGCATGAGCCACCACGCCTGACCCAGATTTCCCATTCTTTTTAAAAACCAGAAGACCTGGCCACACTGGGTCCTCTTCCCCAGCCAGTAATGATCCTCTGGAGTTTCTGAAAGGGTTCATGCCACACCCACTCCATCCCCTGCTGCCTTTCCCACCTACTCCAGTTAACTCACTCCATCACCACCTGACTGTCAACATCTGGGCTCCTGATTCCCGGGTAAACAAAACCTTCGATGGGGAAGAAAGTTTTACGAAGGGGGCTGTATGAGGGGAGACATGGGTCCCTAGACACCCGAAGGCAGAGACTGAAGTGGACCCAAGCTGTAAACCCTCCCCTGTAAGCCCCTCCAGCTGCCACCAGGCCTGCTCCTGCACACCTGACATCTTTGCCCACGGTCATCGATGCAATCACTTTCTTCACTGCCTCCTTCTTCTTCTCCTTCTTGTCACTGTTGAGCTCTGCCTTCAGCTCGAAGATCTCCCCTAAGGAAAGGAGGCATGAGCGATCCCTCCCTACCCTGGCAGGGGACGATTCCCGGTATCTAACTTCCAGAAGAACCAGAGGGAGGCACGTAAGACATCCTATGCTGTTGGTGAGGGCAGCTTCAGGCGCCTGGCCTCGGTGGGCCAGGCAACAGTGAGGGACGACTGTTAGGGCAGGAATTAACAAGCTGGAAGCTTGGAGGCCGGGTGCAGTACCTCACACCTGTAATCCCAGCACTTTAAGAGGCTGAGGATCGGCCGGGCGTGATGGGTCATGCCTGTAATCCCAGCACTTTGGGAGGCCGAGGCAGGCGGATCACGAGGTCAGGAAATCAAGACCATCCTGGCCAACATAGTGAAACCTCATCTGTAATAAAATACACAAAATTAGCCCGATATGGTGGTGCGTGCCTGTAATCCGAGCTACTCGGGAGGCTGACAGCAGGGGAATCACTTGAATCAGGGAGTTTGAGGCCGCAGTAAGCTGTGATTGTGCCACTGCACACCAGCCTGGGTGACAGAGCGAGACCCTGTCTCAAACAAACAAAAAACAAACAAGTGTTTTGTAGAAGAAAGATCTAAATCCTGGTTCTGCTGCCTGCTAACTAACCCCCAGCAGGTTCAAATCACTCTGAGCCTCAGTTTCCTCATCTATAGAATCAAATGGTGATGCCTAGTTCGCAGGGTTGCTAGGAGCTTAACTGACATAACGCATGTAAAAAACAAGGCCGGGCGAGGGTGAGGTGGGTGGACTGCTTGAGCTCAGGCATTTGAGACCAGTCTGAGCAACACAGTGAAAACCTGCCTCTACAAAAAATATAAAAATTAGTTGGGCATATTGGCATGCATCTGTAGTCCCAGCTACCTGGAAGAATCAACTGAGCCCCGGAGGTTGAGGCTGCAGCTCCAACCTGGGGGACAGAAACCCTGCCTCAAACAAACAAAAAAAGAACAAGCACAGTACTGGCACGTAGTACATACTGTATAGATGCCAACTCCCCACTTCCTCCGACTTGGAGGGTATCTTGTGGTTAAGACCATGAGTCAGGTGAGCCCCAGCCGGGGGACCTGCACAATTCCCTCCACCTCTCTAAGTTGGAGCTCCCTCATCTAGAAAGCGAAGGATGATGATGAAAGTTGCATTAAAGACTCTAGTGTGTGGAAAGCACCTGGCAAAGCCCCAGACACCCAGTGAGAATTCAATGGGCAGTGGCTCTGGCGCTACCCATCTACTGAACTCAACAGAGGTGCCCGGGGCTTCTGCGAGCTCCCAGGCCAGGCCTATGCCCACAGCAGGCACTGAGCTGACTGCCCAAGGCAGCTCTCCTGCCTGCCTGGCTCTGGAGAGGTGGGAAGCAGGCAAGCCTCCCTTTAGGTGTGTCTGAGGGTAGGTTGTGGGGCAAGGCACTAGAAAGGGGCTCACTAAGGCCTGAGGCCCAGTGCCTGGTTGGAGCCCCTGAGGACCAGGGTCCTCAGGCTGGGCTGGCAAGCAAGGCAGCCCGCTCACCTCTGGGCCTCGCGGTCGTCCTTGGGTGTATAGTTGGCCAAGCAGTCCAGGATGAAGATCTGGCCCCACTCGGTGCACTCGTTCAGGGCTGTCAGCAGCTTGTTGATGGACTGTGGGTTCAGATCGAGCAGGTTGCTGCTGGGGTGAGACTGGGCGATTTCTGAGAGCGCTGCCACTGCGTTGGCCACCACCTGGTTGAGAGGGAAGAAGGGGCAGAGGTTGGGGGTGCTGCTCACAGGCCAGGGGGCAGTGGGCTAATGATGCTGGCTGGTCAGAGGTCAAATATCCTGAAAGGAATATGACCCAATGGGCAGGGTCTGGAGCTGCAACGAGATCCACTCCAAGCACTCACCCTGCTGACTCCTCTGCAAACTGCAACAAAACCAAGTGTGCCTGCCATTTAGAAAAACAAGAAAGACCTGGCTCCAAGTGCCTAGCCATAGAAAGCATTCCCAGCTTCTTAACACAGCAGCCCCTGTCTACCAGCAACAGCAGCTCACTTCAATGCTTGTCAGCTGTGCTTCTCAGAGCTAGGGGATTCCTGCCGATCTCCTTGAGGCTACTGGGAGTGGATGGGGGTTGGAAAAGAGGAGCTTGCCAGGTGAAGCTCCAGGCCCTCAATCCATTTCCACTACAGCAGGTGTTTTGGTTTTTTGCTTGTTTGTTTGTTTTTGAGACAGAGTCGTGCTCTGTCACCCAGGTTGGAGTGCAGTGGTGTGATCTCAGCTCACTGCAACCTCCACCTCTTGGGTTCAAGTGTTTCTCATGCCTCAGCCTCCCGAGTAGCTGGGATTGATTACAGGCATGCACCCCCACGCCTAATTTTTGTATTTTCAGTACAGATGGGGTTTCCTCATGTTGGGCAGGCTGATCTCAGACTCCTGACCACAGGTGATCCTCCCGCCTCGGCCTCCCAAAGTTCTAGGATTACAGGTGTGAGCCAATGCACTCAGCCTGTTTTGTTGTTGTTGTTGTTTTTGAGATGGAGTTTCGCTGTATTGCCCAGTTTGGAGTGCAGTGGCTCAATCTTGGCTTACGCAACCTCTGCCTCCTGGACTCAAGCAATCCTCCTGCCTCAGCCTCCTGAGTAGCTGGGATTACAGGCATGCGCCACCACGCCCAGCTAATATTTGTATTTTTAGTAGAGATGGGGTTTCACCATGTTGGCCAGACTGGTCTCGAACTCCTAACCTCAAGTGATCCACCCACCTCAGCCTCTCAAAGTGCTGGAATTACAGGCATGAGCCACCGCACTCGGCCTCAGGCAGCTGTTTGGTTTTTTTTTTGTTTCTTTTTTGTTTTTGTTTTTTGAGACGGAGTCTAGCTCTGTTGCCAGGCTGGAGTGCTAGTGGTGCGATCTTGGCTCACCGAAACCTCTGACACCCAGGTTCAAGTGATTCTCCTGCCTCAGCCTCCCGAGTAGCTGGGACTACAGAAGCATGCCACCACGCCCAGCTAATTTTTGTATTTTGAGTAGAGACGGAGTTTCACCATGTTGGCCAGGATGGTCTCAACCTCCTGACCTCGTGATCCACCCACCTCGGCCTACCAAGTGCTGGGATTACAAGCGTGAGCCACCACACCCGGCCCGTTCTTCCTTTTCTTTGTGGCTTCATACTTGAGCTGGGAGACTCTCTAGCCACAGCCCTGTTCATTTTGTGTCTTCTCTAATCTTCAAGGCTGAGACAATCCTGGACCTCCAGAAGTCTCGGCAACAGGGTTTCTGCATCATCTCAGTTCCTGCAAGCACAGTCATGTGGCCCTCTAGTGTTATGGTTGTGGCTGTTCAGCCTCTTGGTCAGTCCCAGTAGATGCCGTGATCAAGCGAGTGCGTGTGTTACCATGTGCACAGTGTTATGTGTGAGACAGCAAGAATTGTTTCCCCACTGCCATGAGCACAGGGGGTGGCCCCAGGCACATTATTGCCCATGGGAAGCCTCCCCATCCTGACCTGACCTTGGTCTCCTTCTCCATGGAGCTCCACATCCACTGGGCTCTTCTTATCTTCTCAC